CTATGGTTGGTGTCCGGTGGTCAGCAGAGGGGTGATGAGGGATGATGTGTGGTCAGGATTTCCGTCCCGCAAGCCCACAATTAGAGGACTGCTTTTTGCAAGTAAGCTTGTCACTATGCTATATGAAATACCTGGCGAGCGAGCGTAAAAGAAAAGTAGGCTCAATCAAGAGTACCGGTTCTCCAACAAACATTGCCAAACAGCTAATCTCTACTTTTCTCCTATCGATATTTTCAAATGCCTACCGGTGAGAAGGGAAAGGAATGGCAATTTTACCTTGCTGCAACTGAGAAGGCAAATTCACGAAACTATCGAGTTTGGTGTCGCGCGTGCCTTCAGTACCAACAATGTTCAATAATAGATGCTGATCCTGCTTATCAGGTAAAGCAAAGTCTTACTAGTGAGGAAGACCTAGCCTTGACTGAGATGGGTATGCCTCCCAATTAGGCCCTATATCTCTCTGTTCTCCCAATCTAAGTTGTCTGCCCATTAGTCAGTTAGTGTTAATATTGTACTAAGAATCTATGATTAGCCAAAAAACAGGTAGAAACGCAAAAAACACCAGGCAGTTTCCTTTCCCGGAAGGAAACAGTGCTAAATCATATAATTATGCAATGCGAGCATGCCACAACAGAGATGCAAAGATTGGCTCGGCAAATTTGTGGTAATACTGCAGCCAAAAAGACAACACTGTTTTGCTTAAGGAAACTATAAGGTTAGTTGTACATAAATTAATATTAATTTAAATAGTATAGTAGTTAACTCTGTGAACTAGCGAGTCACTAATACTTATGATGCCCCATACTGAACATGACCGTATTCCCAAACCCTGGCAAGGCCAATTCAATATCATTAGTGGGCCTGATGCGCTCCTTTCGGTCGAACGACAAGTGGAATTTCACCTCCAAGTTACACGAGCTACTATTTCAGCAAATTTGCCGGAACAATGGATTGAGGATCCAGAAGTTAAAAAAATGTTCTTAATGTTACGCACCCAGGTGGCATTGCCAAGCCGCCGGTCGATCGGAGGTACTTTACTTTCTACTCTTGAACAGGAAATCAATAAAAGAAATATGGTAGAGTACAGTGGTCAAGAGGTCACCCTAGCTGTTGATGGGTGGAAAAATATTAAAAAGGATGCCTTGGTTGGGTTTGTAATTAATGATCACGGTAAAGTTCTTACTTTAGATGTAAACGATATAACGAGAAAGCCCAAAACAGGACAAGTTTTGTTTGAGTTGATTGACAATCAATTACACACACTACTTAAAAGGGAAAGAGGTGGAATAAAGGTTGTAGCTGTTTGCACAGATGATGGAGGTGATTGCCGATTAGCACGTCGGCTTTTAAAGGAAAAATATCCTTGGCTAATAACTACCGTATGTTTTGCATATCAGGTATGCCAGTGTTATTGTATAACATGATGCTTTTCTAAAAAAAAATAGGTTAAATATCATATACTAGTACTATCGCTTATTTAGTGTAATCTCATACTGCGGGATATAATTAAAGGTAGTCCCTTATTGGAGGGTATTATTATTAGAGCAACCACGATCACTCATTGGGTCAAGAATCACTCAATAGCATGCAAGCTACTCCACGACCCCCAAAAGCAAAATCCTCTTAATAAGCGACCTCTCAAACTCCTAACGGGGATCGTAACACGATAGTCAAGCACATACCATTCATGTGCCCGGCTTGAAAATCTGGAGCCATACCTTGATTCGCTTACCTTTGGGCCTATGAAGGATCAGTTTATGGAAGCTGCCGGAAATACCAGGCCCGAGCAAGAAAAGGCAAATGAGATTATTACTTTAATATGTAATAATCAGTTTTGGATGGCCTTAAAAGAGAATAATCAACATTTGCGACTACTAGTTATTGCCAATATGTTTCTTCAACGTGACTCATTATGTCTGGACCACGTATGCTTAATGTTTGGTTATCTTTACAACTACTTCAATAATCTTGAGAATAACCAATCAGCAATGGCTATTGTAAGTACTACTTTATATCTATTTTTTTATTTTTATTTTGTGTAATTTTCCTTACCCAGCTACTAATAATATGTATTTACTTAGGAGGTACGCAAGTGTGCTCTTATATCCTTAAATAAGAGATGGGAGGTGCTTGACCAGAGTCTTTTCATCCTTTCGGTTCTTCTAAACCCATTCGTTATGGTCACAAACGAGAATGGTATATCGACTTCTTTCAACCCCCAAGAGGCAAAACTCTGGCCCTTATTTCTTGTAAATGTTATTACAAATGCATTTACCAACCTTTTTGAACGGCCGCTTAAATTCAGACCAGTTAATTGCAAGCTTTCTGGATTACTACTCGCATAGGAGTGATTTTAGTGAGGATTTTTGGGCTATTGTCAGCTCATTAGGGGAGGTTTCAAAAAAGGAGGAAAAAGGTGATCCAACTTATATTTGGAGATTAGTTCCTGACTCTGCAAGTGATCTAAGGCTGTTAGCACTTCGCTTGTTTACTGTCTGTCCCAATTCCGCCAGCTGTGAAAGAGTATTTTCTTCCTTTGGCATTATTCATTCAAAGCTTAAAAGCACTCTATCTTTCGAGAAGGTGGCTGCTATCGCTAAGGAAAAAGCCTCACTCCGGGCAGAACAAAAGCAAAATACTCTTCGGATGAAGAAACAAAGACTGGGTGAAACAGAAACCACTTGGAGTGTACATACACGATCACAGACCTTTCAAGCATCCAAACGACCGGTACTTGAAGATTTCATTCTCTCCCCTCAGGAGTTTGAGGCTGAAGCGGTTACCTGGATGGCTGATTTAACCCCTGATGCACCAAGCGAGTTGAACGCTCCAGAATATTCACCCTATCACATACATCTTAAGCTTTCAGTTCTATTTAATCAATCTTCCATCTTTGACTACGACCCAGCTGTATTTGGCGAGCTTCCTATGAGGTTTGAGGAGAAGGAGCAGTTCTTGGAGGAAATCGTTAATGACCTAAGCGAGGAGGGTGGAGAATATTTTCCGGAGAGACGAAATATTGCCCAGGCCCTCACCAGCAACAGTTTTTTTGAACCTATGGAGCAAGCTATTGCAACTGCCACCTCTGCTTCTCAAACCTGACTCTTCTCTCTTGTGAGTTTTTTTTTCTTTTTCTTTCTATTCCCAACGCTTATTACATTTAGTAACTTTAAGATCTCCAGCTGCCCGGAAAAAAACTTAGTATGATACTGTAGGACAATCCAACTTTACTCAAGATGTTATATACTAATATCCATTTTATTAGAGTCTCTTATTGGAAACCCATTTGTCACTCAACTCCACTTTTTCGCTTTTTTTCTTTCTTTTTCTTCTTTTGTTGTGGTGCAAGATAGTTTTCCTTCTCTGATTTCTTGTTGAGCGCTGTTTGTTTATACATACTCCACTCTCAAACCTTTCAAAGCCAAGACCATCCTATACTGACCCCTGCTCTGACCAGTCCTGACCACTGGTCATGGCATAAGGGGGTGACCGGTGACTACTTGATTTTCCGGGTGACCAGTGGTCACTGTCAACACTGTACTGTACCGGTACTCGAGTATCGTAGCAGAGATATCATATCATATCATTTCTGTTTTGAGAACCCCGGTATCTTAAATCCGCAACAGTTGTCCGCAATGTCATATCGAGTGACATGTTGTGATACGTCTATTCCCCACAAGAATCACTTGAATAAAATAGTTTTAAAAAAAAAAACGAGGACACATTCCGTGCTAATAAATACTTGATCGACCTCTAATCATCTTCAACAAACCCCTCTGGTTGCTTCGAGTTTTTTCACTAGTAAAAATTATCAGCGTCCTCTATAAGAGGCCCCGCAACGCTCTGACAGTTGCCCAAATGGAGACTTCTTCTGTCTTTGGCCTTTGGTGAAACGGTTACAGTATCGCCCTCTAAACCCGAATCCTCATCATCAGAGTAATCTTCAACGTTATGTTCGTAACTCGTATTCATTCGAGACATCTCTAAGATTATTCCACTCCTTGGCTTTTCCATTTCTGCCACGAAGTAAGCAGACAACCCTTCCTCACTCGCACTCATTTCGAGGAGATCTTGTAAATAGTGCTTACCATACCAATGCAGCATCATGGGCTTGTCCCTCACAGCTGCTGCGATCTCGAATTCCAAAACCTCCCCGAGTGGACAATGAAAGGGGTATCCAAGTGTTCCCGCTCGTCCACCCCCCTCCGATTGCTAAGTCACGGTCAGCCAATCTCCTGAACAAAAGCCGTAGGAGGTGATATTCCGGGGGCTCACAAAGAACCTATATACCGGCTTCGGAGGATACCTCGGGGGCTTCGAATACCATGGGGTCTTCTCCGCAACAACCTTATGGCAGCCACACAAAGCATATATGTCAAGAATGCACTTGCTACCAGCAAAGCTCCAGCGGTATTCCGGAATATCTAGCGCAGGTGGCAGCTCCTCTGGGAGCTCAAAAATGAGCTGGCACATATTGTAGCGTTCATCATCTGGGATACGGAAGCTGACTTCTCAACCGCAGAATGTCAGTATGAGATTTTTGAAAAGAAAAATGAGTTAGACAAACCGAGGGCAGTGATTTCGTTTCCGTTTTTTTCGTCGCCGCTGAAGAAAATGTTTCCAGTGTGCTCGGCGATGTACGCTCTTGTTGGAAACGCTTGTGTGACAGGAACGATAAGCTCTGGGAAGACGAGCCTGGTCTCCTCCGACTCTGATGCTAAGACAATGCTCCTCAATAAGATTAGAATAGTTAGGAAGAAGGAAATCATGGTGGATAGCGGTGCGTTGATGAGAGTAGTTGACTCCTTAGTTACGGAGAGAAAGTAGTGAGAGGGAGGCGATTTCAACAAAACAGGTCTCGATCCCGGGACCCAGGGAGTGACGTATCTAGCACACGCGGTCTCTCAGCATCCTTTATCTTTCAAAAGCTCTTGTAAGCTATTGCAAGTGGTTTAATATAAACATCAACTCATTCGGGCATCATCTCTAATGCGCTAAGACGAATCTTGATTGGATCATTAAAGGTTACTCGAGAAACCTAACGTGAGCCTGTCGTACAGTACATAAGCTACCCCACTAACATACAAACTGCCACGGTATCATTCTATCAAATAACACGAACCCACCCTCATACATGACTATCTACCCCCATTTGATCGCGGAATAAAGGAAAAAGTAATACAAAAACTCCAAACACCAATTCCCATTCTACAAAACTACAACATTACCCACTCTGATATCCTTAACCCAGACACTCCACCTCCTCCTCAACGTCAGACTCCCTACCTCCCGCTCCCACCCCTTGCCACCACCGGCCACCATAACCGCTACGGTGCCATATTCGTTCTCTTTATCCAACAATGGCCGAACGAGGTCCTGTGGTGCCGAGGCGCTCTTATCCAGGAATATCACCAGACGAATAAAACTCGGTACGTGCTGGAGCTTTTGGGAGAAGGCGCAGGTGCCACGGGGAACTATGAGAACCTGTGCGGTTTTCGGAATGCCGTTAGGTTGGATGGGTGTGCAGGCGGGGTTTCTGAGTGTGTAGATATTTGTGAATACTGGTGTTGTGGTTGGAATGTCCACTGCGCCTATGCCTGTAGGAATGATCCCGGCGAAAGCGTGTAATCGTGGAGAGCTCGTGCTTGTTGGGGTTGCTTCGTCACCGCGGTCGTCGTCATCATTGTATAAGCTAAGCAAATCGTTAAGTTGAGTCTCGAGGCTGGTAAACCCCAGCCTGCTGAGCAATTCTCCAAGCGCCGTCTTGGTCTCTGGAATGATCGGCACTTGCTTCAACTCCTCTTCGCGTTTGGCAGCACGGATGTCGTCCGCATACTGAATGAGCAAGTCCACGTATTCGTGATCAAGCACAATTTGGAAGTTGGGGTCCATCGTCGCACCACTCTTATCGATCACTTTGTCCTCCAGAAATACAATCTCGCTTTTGCCCAAGGAGGTTCCGCCTATATTGGTTATGCGGAGGATTCCATGTTCGTTTGTCATCCCCATACGGACCCCACGCATGCTACCGGAAATACTGATACCGCCTTGTACTCGTTTTACTATACCGGCAGTGGTTGCGCCGAAAATGTCGCTGGAGCCAGAAGCGGATGAGAGTCGTGCTTTAGGTTGCGGAAATATGAGATCGAAGGAATCAAGGGCTGGTAAGCGTGAGCAGATGGAATCCGGGGAAACAAGATACGGAGGGAGAGTCCAGGGGTAAAAGGTTGAATTGGAGGGCGACCAAAAGTATGAGTTTTCTGCATAGATGTCGAGATCCGACGGTTGCAGAGGTGATAATTTTGTCGGAGGAGTCTTTGGGAGGAGATGAAGCCTGGTAAAGTGCGAGGCATGGAAAACATCGGGACGAGAAGCTGTGGTGGAGAAGAAAGGGATTGATGTTGGGGCTGGATTGGGACAGGACAATGGTGGCGCAGGATAGGTTCCTGGCGACCGAATCCGGTGCTTGGACTTGGGGAGGATTATAGGGTGTCCCTCTGTTGTGAATACCCATGGATCGTCTCCTTTGTGAAGTGGGTGGTCTAGATTGTTAGAATGTGGGGGTATTAGAGAGGGAGAGCTAGACATACCTTCATCAAATAATAGGAATAAATAGGTCCACGTCTCCCCTAGCCAAAAGCTCTCCATCCTGTCTTGCCTTTCGCCCGTCTTTACATCCTGCAGCCCCGCCCATCCGCATTTTCCCCAGCATCTCCTTTTAAGATCCCTCATAATCATTTCTCCAACATACAAGTACCAAGGGTCTTTCGTAGCCCGGTATAGCATATAGGTACTCTCAGCGAACTCCGGTCGTCCCGGATACCAACCCAAACCCCCTTCTACCGACCCAGTCCTAAAATTCCATCTCTCCGGCAATGCCGAAAACCTACTCCACAATGCAGAGTAGAACATATTTCCTCTAGTGGCTTCCTCAATCTCTCCACTAGCAGCCAATAATCCTGGCCAAAATGCGCTGAGTGAATCCGTCCACGACGATGCGCCCTGCACAGGGGCACCAGTGCCGAGGTGGACATTACTCCACCACATAGTCGGGATTTCCATTCTCATATGCGTCCTGACAGCCTCACTACTTTGCTCCCAAACTTTCCAAAACCACGAATCCTCGCCGAATTCGTCTCCAGCGAATAAGACAAAAGCCTTGAATGCGTATTCAAAAAAGCTGTCCATTCCGGCACCCACACCTCCGACAGGTCCGTTCCAGAGTCCACTTTCAGCGTCCACTCCACCGCCAAATAATCCTAAATCGCTTCGTCGGTTCCAAACCGCCTCGAACGCCCTTTTCGCTGCTTCTTGGAACTGAAGATCTCCGGTTAGCTGCGATAGGGTTGTAAATTCCAATACCAACGAACCGGCGCCGGCGGTGCAAGTCTCGGTAATCTCGTCCGAAGCTGCTTCCTTCACACTCCCTGGCTTTGTGGGATTGCCCCATCGCTTCTCACTCTGGTGCTCCCCTTCAGGTGTCCATGGCCGGGGGTCGGGGTGTGGGTGCGGGGCGCGCCGAGGAAACCTGTAGTAGGCCGGGTTCTTTGTCTTATGCGGGAGACCGTACCGAAGGTTAATCCGGGGGTAAGGAAGGCCGGTGGGAGATTCCGTAAGAGCGGGGAGTAGCCGAAGGCCCAAATCATAGGCTAAATCTAGAAGCTCATCTTTATACTCATACTTTGGCTGTACACCAACAGGTAATGAAGCCAACGACCGGGTAGCGAAAAGGTGAGCGGACAGTAATCCTCCCAAAATTCTGATGGTTGTTTCAAACACCTATAATATTAGTCCCGGCACCTAAGCCCCAATTAAAGGCAACCTACCTGAACCTTAGCATCAATATCAAACCCCCGAGACTCCCGACTCCTATTATGGAACCTGCCCCAAGAACTGGTCTTCTCGCCACAATTCTCGATAACCATATCGCACTCCTTCGGCTCATTGTACCTTTTAAACCCATCAGCTTAGTTCTGCAAGCCAACCAATCAACAAACCAATAAATCCTCACCACCTCCCCAACCGTTTCCCAAAACCTCTCCGCATCAAGATCACTACTATCCGACATCAGGGCAAGAGAGCTAAGCGTGTCGATAGCGGTGAGGGAGAACTCCCCCATTGCGTCGTTACGGCCGATGTTGTTCGGGTTATCCCGGTCGCGGTAATGAGGAGCGCACGACAGGGGCTTGATCTAAAATCTACATAGTTAATTAGCTCGCCCAGAACGATGGATAAAGAGGGTGCGCGTGCGGAAGAGAAGGGGGCAAGGGGTTAACCAGCCTCATCTTGAGGAAAGGCCCGCATCATGTAGTTTTCCCACCCGTGGCGGAAGCTCACGCGAGCCTCTTCCCGGAGCGCGAGTTTTCGGGAAGGGGTCATGCACAGGACTGCTGTTAAACATTGAAGGAGGATAAGTATTGAGAGATATTGTTTTGCTCTCAGGGGCGGATGAGAGGCCATGGAGATGGGCTATCATATGGGGGTTAGGAATTCAGGAAAAGGAGTATGTGGTGTACGGGAGATACTGTAGCACCAGCTTGCCGGATTATTCATGTCAATTTTTTTCGTTTCCTTCGGCTTTTGGAAAGATGCGACGGTTGCAAGTTACTATACCGTAATCAAAACAGCCGCGTTATGTTGGTGGGAGGTTAGTCAGCCATGTCAGGGTTAGGGTTGTTAGTCCCGGGCGCTTGCATACCTGCATCTCTAGACTATCATACCAGGGTACACTTGTCACTGGATGAATACCGATCAACCATTGACCTCGCGCGGAGCATAGTACAAGTAATCCAAGGTCCGGGATTAATTGGTGGAGAGTCAAGTCCAAGTTCTCAGCGGGCTAAGTTAATTCCTAAAACAAAGTTTCGGAGGCTCGTTGGGTGCTGGGTTTTTACCGGCAGTCTGCGCATTCCACACACCCAAGGATCCTGACTGCAAGTATCATAGTAGGGCTCATACCGTGGAGATCCCGAGGTTGGCTGCTAGGTGCTGCGGTGTATCAAAGTATCATAGCGCCCTTGCGCTGTAACCAACCCTACTAGTATAATACGGGGGCAGTGCATTAAAGATCAATTAACCCTTCCCCATCCTCTCAATGCAAACATTCCCTTCGCATAGAAGCGATGCCGTAGTTACTGAGATTTAATTGTTTTAAGGAGTACTAGTGACATGTGCGAGTGATCGCCTGGAGTCTGTCCCCCCCTTCTGTAATCTCAACCCAAAAAATCTTCCCTCTCAACCAAGAACCCTGGGAAACCCAGCGGGCCAGGTGGAGGTACGTATCATTTCCCATCCTTTAGGTTGTCTTGGCACTTCCGGGCTCAACTCCGGGCTCAACTCCGATCGGTTGCCACGGAATTCCTGTTTCACCGGAGGACCCACCTTTAGGCACTTTGCACCGTACGTAGGCGGGGCGGCCGATTAGATGTGGAGGACCAAAAGGACGACCGCAGCCAGAAGGACGACCGAAATCGGGGTCTGAAACCCCGAGAAAACAGGGCGAGTGGACTGGCCGGAGGATCCGGACGTGGACCACGAAGAGAACGGCAACGGCAGCGGAAACGACCGCCAAAAACATGGATCATCGAACTTTGACAATCACCCCATGCCGCCCTTTTTCTGCTTTATGCTTGCTCCCCATTCTATGCCAATTTTTCTAAAAAATATGGGTAATCTCGGGGTTTTAAAACATAAGACATAACTTATGGTAAGTGTTCGCCATTTCCGCCTACTTCGGCAGTTAGTAGACAAGAGTTTCCCCAGATCAACTTTCTTGTCGAAAAACAAATTATTGATTCTAATTCATATTGCGATAATCTTGGATAAGCGTACGAGTACATTATGATGCGCTCTGTCAGAAGGATTTATAGTTCCCATGTTGGGGCATGGGGGCGTCAGAGCAACCCCCTGTGATCTTGGTGACGCAATTCGCCGGCACCCTTCACATTTTACACCAAAAATGAGAAACTCCCCATCAAGAATCCTCCAGTTTATCACTGTGTAGAAGGAGATGTTAAGGGTCACTTGGCCCCGCAAATTGTGTAGAGGTTGTGATCCCAAATTAGCATGAAAACTTTTGTATTTACTGACCGGTGGGGGTGCGTTTTTGGAACGGAAGCTTAAGGGGGGGTGTAGGCGGGCGGTTGTTCTTGGTTTCGGCATGCGGTGGGGGGCTGGCGTCTGGCGTAGGAAGGGAGGGCATGCGGGAGTGGATAAGTAATTCCACTAGGGACTCTGCTTGGTAAAAAGAGAAAAGGCTATCATATCTATACAGGTAATCACCCTGTATATTGAGCTTCTGTCTATCCCTCACTATCTCCACACCCTCTTTATGGTCCCTTCCACCTAGACCCGGGGCTCTTGCCCAAGCGCGATGCATGCCATTAACAATTTCATGACTTCTCACACGATATGAAGTTGAAGTAACAAACAGGATTTTATGAAAATCTTTTGAGTATGAGGGAGAGAGGAGGGGGTAAGTGGGAGAATGAGGTAAAGCGTTAACTTATGTATTAACTTTTCCAAACACTTATTTTCCGTCTCATTATTGATACTAGAGCAGGCTATAATTTTGTGCCGCCGGGAACACAACCTGATTGATAGCCATGGATCCTCAGAATTCCTTCTATTCCATTCATCCCATTACATTCGCCCCATTCAATACCAGATATTCCATTTAATTTGTCCTATTTTATACCGGACATCCCATTCCGAACATCTGCACAAAGTTATCGGGATGCCCAAACAATCTCCGTCACATCACAATAGAAGGGAGTTCCGGGAAAGCTTCCCCGAGAGAATCTCAATTTGGAGGCTCTCGCTTGGCAGACTATAGAGTCTGTCGAGAGTGTCTAGCTTAGAATATAACTATGCTTAATTGCTTAGCTACAGTCACTCGCCAGGGGTGTTCGTAAATCATGTCTTGTTTTCCTAATGTGCCTCACAAAAATCCTCAACCCACTAAATTAATCGCGATTTTTTTGCTTTATACTCTCTAGTAATAGTGCCGGTGTCCAAACCAACTAATCTACATTTTACCCTCATTATTCCTCTCAGTGATTGGTAATGGATCTCGAAATGCGGGCAGCGAAAAAAATAAATTCCAAAAACATCTTGAGGAGACATGACAACCATCAGAAGAGTTTGATGATTTTCACGTTATTCCTCCACCAAAGCGTTGCCCCAGTTGCTCGAGTCATTGGATGGCCTTGGACGATAGTTAAAAATTTCCTGGTCCGGGCATGTCAGTACCTATCATGGTATAAATAACGGTATTTTTCTTCCTTGTCATACTACTCTTCTCTTGGGACCCCTAACAAATACCGATACCACAGCAGTACAGTGAGCGGAATCGAATTAGAACGAGGCATTATGGATCAGCTATAGGAGAGGTAAGGTCATAAACCTCGCTCCCTTGTTCGGCACTCTCTAGACCAATAGCAAAGACAGGAGCATATGTAAAACACGAAATTATCTTGACTCTTCCATGGATACCATGTATATAACTTTTCCTCCATGCATTTCCCAAGTTCCTTTCCTACTCCCATGGCAGAAAAAGAAAGACGGCTCCGAAGAACCGTCTCCGTACATCGCAATAACTCCCGAACGAAACGATCAAATTAGCTTTACAGCATTCCTACAATCACTACCACTAACTACGACTCGCCGTCTTCCCTTAGCTCTAATATCCTCTGAGTGATCAGCAATATCGCCAATTGGCTAGTATTGTTTCCTTTAATTTCTGTTTTCCTTATTTAATTTTGATCTTAATATTTTTTTTTTTTGCTTTACCGTTCTAACAAGCTTGACATTCTCTACTGTTCTCGTAGGTCTATTGTTGACCACTCTCAAGCCCGAAATCCCACCACCACCGGCCGATCGGGCCCCTAACTATAGCGTGTTCGCAAAGTCTCGGGTCACACACTTCTCGCACCTACTTTGCTTTCCCGTCAGCCCACCATTCCAGCACCATACCCCCCATACAATCCACCCAGAAGCCATCCCCACTTGGGCTCCGACAGCTCACCTGCAATGACATATGGTGGGGAAACAAGAGATGTAAGGTCCATCAGATATCAGGAGGAATATAAGCGCATAGGCAACAACGATCAGCTCAGTGAACGTAAAGTGATCTGAGTAGATACTAGGTGTCTGTTATTCCAAAACAGTACAACCCCATCCAATCCAGCTTCCTGTTCACCGCAAAACCCAAGTAACCTCCTACCTGACCTTCGATATGAGATTTACTATAGAAAACTCGGGAAATTCCTAATATTGAATCATGTTACAACATTAATCCGCTCACTCGGTAGTAACCCTGTGATATTAGTCATACGCCCTGCCAAAATGATTGGATATTCAAGTCGTACAACAAGCCTCATCTCCCTTGCTTTCTTCAGCTGTTCTCAGAGAATTTTACAAATTTCCCTGATACCCCTAGAAATTATTTTACCGTTTCCACACTCAACCCAGACTCTTGACAGAATATCATGGCACAATCTGCACATGTCAACATCGGCGACGGCAATGCCAACTGCGGCAACATGATAGGTTGTTTCAACAATACCGTCCATAAGTCCGACGACGATGCAAAAATCATGCGTTGGCTCTCACCACTGGAGCCAAATGACAGACACGAAGGCGTGCGTACCGACAGATTTGACGGCATCGGGGATTGGCTTTTGGAAACGGCCGAGTTTCGGGGGTGGAGAGGTGGTGAGGGTGGAGTCGATAAGGCAGTCTTGTTTCGCAGCGGGAATCCAGGAGTGGGTAAGACCTACTTAAGGTAAGTGGCGGGATCCTTTAAAAGAGAGCGGGGATTGCTGAGGGTCAGAAATGCCAGTTCCCTGGTGATCGACAGCCTTTGCGATCATGCAAGGAAGGGGGATATCGCCGTCGTGGGCTTGTACTGCGACTTCCTTGCTCAGCAAGAACAGACAATTACCAACCTGATGGGAGCTATCTTGAGGCAGCTGGTAGGCAGAACGGGCATCCCGAAGTATCTCCGCGAGGCGTTTTAAGAAGCAAAAGCGGAGCTTGGTGGCAGAAGGCTGCGGCTTCAGGATCTGATGGGAATGCTGAAGATCGCTATTTCTTCGCTACCCCAACTTTTCATCTGCATCGATGAGCTAGACGAATGTTTACAGAGGCATTTACCAAAGCTGCTGGATTTGCTGAGACATATTGTTCGGGAGTCCCCCAGGACACGAATATTCCTCACCGGGAGGCCCCATGTCAGGGAGGATATTCAAAGATATTTTAGCAAGGCTGTTGTAGTACCTATCAGTCCTACCATAGACGACATTAGGAGTTATCTGGAGATGAGGTTGGGAGAGGACCCCGACCCAGAGGCCATGAACGATGAATTACGAACTGATATTATTGGAACTATCCTGGAAAAGATATCCGATATGTAAGAGCATTTAACATTCTCGCTCTGTGACAGATCAATACTCACCCACGGTTGTGTGTAGATTC